AACGACAGGCACATCATTACAAGTTCTTATATCATTCGTTTGAGTAATTATATGTAGTTCCCTTCCTATATTTCCATGACTATTTCTTTGTATCGTATACATAGTAATCTGTAGATTCTCGTATATCCTCAGATCTGTTTCCATTAGTCAACCTTTCCTATTCATGTGCATTCTCTTTCGCGTTGTTGTACTTTTTCCTGTGCTTGCTGTACCTTGCACCCACTCCACATAACACGCTGATACTACTCACTTTCTTATTCGCCGGCGGGAAGGATGCCAAAGGCAAAATACGTAGACAGGTTTATTATGACTATTGTTGTTGTGCGGAGTGTCATGACCCTCGGTCATGATATCGAGGAGGCACCCCTAGCACCGTTGGTGCCTGCGTCTCTGCTATCGATCGGCTCATGCAGGCCGCCCTGGGGGCGGGACTTGTACCGCCCAGAACCGGTTTGGCCGTACCGCCCCTTTTCGAGCCAATAAATACCGGTGCCAGAGGGGAGCTAGGCTTCAGTTCTACACTTCGTCTTCCGCGAGCGGCGGGTCTTCTCTCTTAAGCTCTCTCTCCTCTCTGACACAATACTACTTACAGTTAACCTCGCATGTCGGGGATACACTACAGGCCGGCGGACCCGCGGCGAAGCGGCTAATCGATCAACACTACGGTAACATACAAGCCACACTACGCCACGAACGGCTCACGTACAGCAAGACTCAGTACCAATATACTATATCCTCTTGTAGTCGTAGTTAGTGTATCTCTGTCGTATTATTATTTGTGTAGATAAAGATTAGAAGTTAGAACTGTTGCCACAACTCTACCACTGAACCACCAAAACCGCATTGGACCCGGCGTGATGGAGCAGGTCAAACATACCTCGATTATCTCTGATGTTCCGAGTGAGCGCGATAAAGCGAGTGGCTTTAAGAATGGAGCAAAGAACAAGCAGCAGCCACCACCCAGACAGCCGGTCTTGTCGAGCATGGCTCTAGACATCGATTGATGCAGATCTAGCTTCTGAGCGGAGTAAGACAGCAGAGAACCGCTCCACCAGAGAGTTATTTATATTGCCTCATGATGTAAATTGATTCAAGCAAGTACTGAACGTCAAAGAAAGAAAGAACGAACAGCACTAAAAAATGTGAGAGAATGAAACAAACAAAAGTGAAAATAGATGCTTCTATGAAAACGACCATATGAACAATTCATGAGAAAGAAAAATAAAAGCCGCCAGTCAAATCCCGCTGCTACTGCTCAATTTAGTCCGCTAGACAAGTCCTCATCGCCCAGCAATGTCTGGTTAAATGTTTTTCCATCTCTCATATATCCACATTTGTAAGATATGCGTGCAACGTGACCGTGAAAGTACTGCCAATAAGAGCACGTCGTTTCTAACAGATGCGAGCAGAGTGGTGGCTGTGAGATGGAGTTGCACTCGGTAGATCTCGTGTGTAGTGTTATCACATCTGTCTAAACACACAGAAGGCCGGCGGTTCGAGCCCGCCCGAGATCAAATGTTTTGTGCAGTGTGGTTGTATAAGAGACAGAAACTGCATGCAACACTCATAGTGTGTGTGTGGGTGGAGTATCTGGGCAATCAGAGAAACGCGTTTCTAGCGATTGGAAGTGGAGATGTAGCACTCGTAGGATCTCGTGGTGTAGTGGTTATCACATCTGTCTAACACACAGAAGGCCGGCGGTTCGAGCCCGCCCGAGATCAAATGTTTTGTGCAGTGTGGTTGTATAAGAGACAGAAACTGCATGCAACACTCACAAGTACTGCCAATGAGAGCACTCGTTCTACGGATGAACGAGTGGTGCTGTGGAGATGTTGCACTCGTAGGATCTCGTGGTGTAGTGGTTATCACATCTGTCTAACACACAGAAGGCCGGCGGTTCGAGCCCGCCCGAGATCAAATGTTTTGTGCAGTGTGGTTGTATAAGAGACAGAAACTGCATGCAACACTCACAAGTACTGCCAATGAGAGCACTCGTTCTACGGATGGAACGAGTGGTGCTGTGGAGATGTTGCACTCGTAGGATCTCGTGGTGTAGTGGTTATCACATCTGTCTAACACACAGAAGGCCGGCGGTTCGAGCCCGCCCGAGATCAAATGTTTTGTGCAGTGTGGTTGTATAAGAGACAGAAACTGCATGCAACACTCACAAGTACTGCCAATGAGAGCACTCGTTCTACGGATGGAACGAGTGGTGCTGTGGAGATGTTGCACTCGTAGGATCTCGTGGTGTAGTGGTTATCACATCTGTCTAACACACAGAAGGCCGGCGGTTCGAGCCCGCCCGAGATCAAATGTTTTGTGCAGTGTGGTTGTATAAGAGACAGAAACTGCATGCAACACTCACAAGTACTGCCAATGAGAGCACTCGTTCTACGGATGGAACGAGTGGTGCTGTGGAGATGTTGCACTCGTAGGATCTCGTGGTGTAGTGGTTATCACATCTGTCTAACAACACAGAAGGCCGGCGGTTCGAGCCCGCCCGAGATCAAATGTTTTGTGCAGTGTGGTTGTATAAGAGACAGAAACTGCATGCAACACTCACAAGTACTGCCAATGAGAGCACTCGTTCTACGGATGGAACGAGTGGTGCTGTGGAGATGTTGCACTCGTAGGATCTCGTGGTGTAGTGGTTATCACATCTGTCTAACACACAGAAGGCCGGCGGTTCGAGCCCGCCCGAGATCAAATGTTTTGTGCAGTGTGGTTGTATAAGAGACAGAAACTGCATGCAACACTCACAAGTACTGCCAATGAGAGCACTCGTTCTACGGATGGAACGAGTGGTGCTGTGGAGATGTTGCACTCGTAGGATCTCGTGGTGTAGTGGTTATCACATCTGTCTAACACACAGAAGGCCGGCGGTTCGAGCCCGCCCGAGATCAAATGTTTTGTGCAGTGTGGTTGTATAAGAGACAGAAACTGCATGCAACACTCACAAGTACTGCCAATGAGAGCACTCGTTCTACGGATGGAACGAGTGGTGCTGTGGAGATGTTGCACTCGTAGGATCTCGTGGTGTAGTGGTTATCACATCTGTCTAACACACAGAAGGCCGGCGGTTCGAGCCCGCCCGAGATCAAATGTTTTGTGCAGTGTGGTTGTATAAGAGACAGAAACTGCATGCAACACTCACAAGTACTGCCAATGAGAGCACTCGTTCTACGGATGGAACGAGTGGTGCTGTGGAGATGTTGCACTCGTAGGATCTCGTGGTGTAGTGGTTATCACATCTGTCTAACACACAGAAGGCCGGCGGTTCGAGCCCGCCCGAGATCAAATGTTTTGTGCAGTGTGGTTGTATAAGAGACAGAAACTGCATGCAACACTCACAAGTACTGCCAATGAGAGCACTCGTTCTACGGATGGAACGAGTGGTGCTGTGGAGATGTTGCACTCGTAGGATCTCGTGGTGTAGTGGTTATCACATCTGTCTAACACACAGAAGGCCGGCGGTTCGAGCCCGCCCGAGATCAAATGTTTTGTGCAGTGTGGTTGTATAAGAGACAGAAACTGCATGCAACACTCACAAGTACTGCCAATGAGAGCACTCGTTCTACGGATGAAACGAGTGGTGCTGTGGAGATGTTGCACTCGTAGGATCTCGTGGTGTAGTGGTTATCACATCTGTCTAACACACAGAAGGCCGGCGGTTCGAGCCCGCCCGAGATCAAATGTTTTGTGCAGTGTGGTTGTATAAGAGACAGAAACTGCATGCAACACTCACAAGTACTGCCAATGAGAGCACTCGTTCTACGGAACGAGTGGTGCTGTGGAGATGTTGCACTCGTAGGATCTCGTGGTGTAGTGGTTATCACATCTGTCTAACACACAGAAGGCCGGCGGTTCGAGCCCGCCCGAGATCAAATGTTTTGTGCAGTGTGGTTGTATAAGAGACAGAAACTGCATGCAACACTCACAAGTACTGCCAATGAGAGCACTCGTTCTACGGATGAAACGAGTGGTGCTGTGGAGATGTTGCACTCGTAGGATCTCGTGGTGTAGTGGTTATCACATCTGTCTAACACACAGAAGGCCGGCGGTTCGAGCCCGCCCGAGATCAAATGTTTTGTGCAGTATGGTTGTATAAGAAACAGAAACTGTGTGCAACACCCACAAGTACTGACAGACAGAAACAGTATGCAAATCTGTGAGGGTCCCTTCTACACGACTTTATACAATGTGCCATGCACTCGTCTCTCGCGCAGATGTTACCTGCACATGTGATTTCAAACCGATGATTGCTGTGCAAGCAGATGCGTTCCATTCAGTGATGGCTTGAGCTTTTGAACATTTTTATTCACATTGTTTGTGTTCTCTACTAGCATTCCCACACTCACAGATTTCCGCATGAGTTCCATCTCCACTCGCCAGCGATGGGAATACATCCACCCTCAATTGGTACTCACCAAGTACGTTCCCTCACCGAATAGTTTCCATTTGTACACGATAGCTCAAAATACTCGATCTAGCGGGCACGAACTTCGGCACACCTCTCTGAACTTTGCACCGTAGCGTTCACACTTCGTATTGACGCGCTACTAATGCAATAGGTCGCTAGATGGGTTTGTGGAGCACTTCTTTTTTCCAGCAATAGTGACGCGTCGACACGTGTCATCGCGAAGTATGAAAGCGACTTATGTTACATTTGACGGTCCGTTCTGTTTCGCTAGATCTTTTACATCACGTTAGCCGTACTTGAAACTATGATGTCGTGGACGTCACATAAATAAGTTTCTTCCGATGAATGTTCAGTTTTCAATTGCCCAGTACTCACTTTCAAACGTTTCTTCTGCATGGCTGCTGTAAAAGCAGTTATTTACCAGAGGGGCACTTTCAGCAATTCGCATTTGATTTTATCATCCATCTGTCCGTAGAAAATAAAACAATATAACAAGCATTCCGCGTAGAAAATAAAACAGCATAACAAGCATTCCGGAAAACAAACAATAACAAGAACAACAAGATGAATACACACATTCCTATCTTCTACTCTTGGCCTTCTGCAGCTTCTTCTTTTTGATGGCTCTGCTCTTCTTACTGAGTTTATTCTTCATTCTGAAATAAAATGTTCACAATATCTGCTTTTCGCTATGGTACCCTAGGTACAGTTGAGTTCTCATCGGACGGTGGGGCGGTCCTTCGTCCACGTTGGCAAGCGGTCCGACGCCGCCGCGATCGATAATGGCTGATACGCCAATTCAAGATTATCTATTGTTTTCGGCTTCAAAAAGCTGGAATTATCCTTCAAAAAGGAAAGGTAAGTACCTTTAGATGGAGCTAGATTTAACTGATATCTACTGTTTTCAGCTTCAAAAACCTGAAATTATTCTTCAAAAAGGAAAGGTAAGTACGTTTAGATGAAGCTAGATTTCATTTTGCATGAATTTAGGCAGTAACCTAAATTCACTTTCAAACGTTTCTTCTGCATGGCTGCTGTAAAAGTAGTTATTTACCGAAAGTTAAACAAAGACATTCAGAAGTTGAAAGAAAAATTGGGAGAAGAAAGAAGAAACAAGTTTTCTAAGAGTATTTCATGCTGAATTCATGCAAAATGTAATCTAACTCCAGTAAACATACTCACCTCTGGGAATGAAGTCGAAACTAGAATATTTCAGCTTTTACAAGCTGAATATTGCAGAAAAACAACAAAAAATACCGCAGAAATCAGCTGATTGGTAGCGTTAGCAATTATCGATCGGCGAGAGTCCAGACGGAAGAGTGAGTAGGTAGTGCGGCGGCGTGTGTTCAAGCGCAGAGTCAATGTTAGAGAGCGCAGAGACAGTGATGGTGATGGCCCGAGGCCTCCGCCTTTCCACCGACACGCAACCGTCGGACCGCTCGCCAGCATGGTCGTAGGACGGCCCCACCGTCGCGTGAGCACTCCACTGTACGTAGGAAGACAGTGGTAATATGGCGGACGTGGTGGGCAATGTCGCGTCCCACCGAACCCTCGGACGAGTTGTCCTGCCGGCCGTTCAAGTGTGACGTTAGAGGATGGTAACATTCAATATCGCCAGGATGGGGTCTTATCCTTGCTTGAATTAATACAAGTACCGCGCTGTCCAATCGACTCTGACACACATCGAGGATTTGCCGCGATGGGGCGCGGCAATCCGCAAAATTACGACTGTCTTCTCCGTCTCCCCTATATTCTAAGAAGCAATCCAAACGGCTATGAGATTTGAAATATTCTCATTGAAAACAAATACTTACGCTCCGCTCATCCATGGAGGATACGTTCCATCTGCTCGTTTCATCGTTTTCAAATTTATGGTAGCCTTTGTAACAGAGTCCTGGGCTGAGTCATCCATCTAAGCCATTAAAATACATCATGATTTTTGATCTCAAGGAGGATACAGGTACTAGCAAACAAAACTAACGATCAAGGGGAAACATTCACCCACCGTTTCGACTTTTTCCGTGCCAGGAGCATTTTTTGCAGCTTCAGCCTCCTTTGCTGAAAAATTTATCATTATTGTAACTAATAATAATTAATAAAGGTATATCGTTGCAGTGCCGCTTATAGAAAGACGTAACATCGCTGAAGCTTCGATCCATGAGCAATCGGGAATTCATGGCCTATACAAGGGAATACCGGCCTCCAGATCTTGTTTAAGGAAGGCGATGAACAGATGCACCTCGACTGATCTATTACCCGCTTCTACTGACCGATGCGTACACTTCAACTTTCCCAGATTCTACGATTCCTCCAATTCGGCGAAGAGCTTCGGAGCTAAAATAGTTGGGGAGGTGGGGGGAGGGGTGTAGTGTACCACAAGCGTCTTGATCATTCCCCTGAGGCTGGGAGAGCGCAGACCACCAGAGTCGCCGTGAGAAAGTGGTGGCGTTTGCTCGCTGGGAGAGAGGGGGGGGGGTTGTATTTGGGCTGCGAATACTTTTTTGGTAGTCGATTTTTCTTGATCCAGGAGCGGTGTAAAGGGGAGAGAGCATTTTGCTCGTTGTTGGGAAGGGGGTGCTATTTCGTGTCAGGCCCTCTGGTGGGAAAGGTTGCTGACTTCTCGTGGTTTTCCTGTTTCATATTCCTTCCTATTCCTATTTACCCCCCTCCCCGACAGCAAAATTTTTGGGTAAAAGTAGGAAAACTCCGGAAATTCTGAAATTCTGGAAAAAGTGCAGGAAAGTGGTGAGCAGGATGGGGGAAGGGAGGAGGCTATTTTAGAAGTGGAGTCCCATTAAGCCACCCCCTAGAGGTAGTACCAACCCCTAAAAAAAGGAGGAGTGTCGCATGCTCTACTTAAAACCCCAACCAGTAATGTCCTCTGGTCTTATAGAAGACATAGTCTCCATCGCCTTAGAATGCGTTTATACTTCGCAATCTGATCGCGCGGTTGGATCGCGAAGTATGCAAGGCTCGTGGCCTCGATAAACGGAAAAGTTACGAAAGCGCTGCCAGGTGGCTCCACTCACTAGCTAGCTCCCACGATTCTCCAATTCTCCGGTCTTTTAATGTCACAAGTTATAAATGCGTCGTAGTCTATCTAATGTTCGGGAAAAAATTCGGGAAAAAGATAAGTAAAACAGGCAAAAAGTATATGAATTGTTTGTTTTACGTAAAATCACTGTGGCAAAAGTACCTATTAAGTTTAATTATGAATAGTTTAAGAAACTTACCAGCTTGTTCCAGTTCATACGCTTCCCTTCGTGCGACGGCAGCTTCGAGAAGGGCATGCTCTTTAGGGGCTTTCTTTGCCCTGGCTATTGAACGCATTTTTCGCTTGAACTTTGAACGCAGACTTTTGGCCATATCAGCTGGAAAAGAACTAGGAATGAATCAAATTGAAAATAATTAAAGATCACAGGCAGGATTCACACGGACCCAGCACCAATGAGTATTTTTACCAGTATCACAGAGTTCTCCAGAACAAATGATAGCAGCGACATAAAGAAAAGAACCTCAGAATATGCACAGAAAAATTAAACCAATAGAAAATATTTCGGGAATGCACAGCAACATTCCCTCATTTTCAGGGTTTCTACTAGAGGAACCAGCAGTGGAGTTAGGTGAACACAAGAAACAGCGATTGTTTGTCACATCTTCCTCAGAGCGCGGAATCAGTCCGCAAGCCAATGGGTAAAACTGAAGCCAGACCAAATCTACATTGGGGAATCCCCAGCAATGAGGGAGGGGCAGGGGTCGTAGCTAGTCTAAGAATTTTCTTGATAGTTGGTTTCTCGTGTTTCACGGGTTCACGGACGCTCTCAGGAAGGGGGCAGGTTGTTGAGAAAGGGGTGGCGTATTTTCCGAAAATTTCCCACAGCGGCAGGACAGATTCGGACTTCATGAACACAAAGCAGGCTATTATGACAAGCATAAAATCCATGATCCCTAAATTATTTCTGCCCGCCGTTGGCTTTATCCTTCGTAGGCAAAAATGCACTGTTTCGGTCGTGGCTTTTTTTCTATTTTCAGAGGCTGCTCGGGACCATCCTCGAAGCGGCACCTGTACTGCACCCGTCCTATTTATTACCTCGGTTACATGCGGTGATTGAAGACTTTTTCTCAAAAAATTTGAGTCGAGGATCAAGAACCCCCGGTCAGGGTCACTCTACCGTTTCGATCCTCCCGCGGCGTGAGCCGCGACGCTTCCAACGAAAGTTTCGCGCGATCAGAAAATGTTTTGCCGAAAAGAAGTGCATCAGGTTGCGTAATTCGCTATAATCTTATTTGTCCTATTTTGAAAGCTTAAACCTCATGTGGACGTTATTGGGATTTACCTATGATGAAAAGCTGGTGGTTATTCCACCCATGACCGGTATTAATGTTAAGACTGGGGAGATTGTTGATATAGACCCATCGTTTTTTTGTTGCAAGTATTTAATGGATACTTTGCCATCATATCTTTACTTACTATCATCTGAAATATATTCAGTTCATTTACTGTGGAATTTGTGGGTCTGTATTCATACAGAAGTTTCTTTCGTTGTTATAATGAAACCGGTTTATACAGCAAGAGAGCTTGCAGTCAACTCGTCAGACTGTTTCTCTTCTCTTCAACTTCCAATCATTTTTCAATTTTGTCCTTTGTCGGCCTCGCTTCCAATATCTAACGATTTCGATTTAACTCGACCCCATTTCAGAGGTTTGTCAGATCAAATGCTTGTGCAGTAACTACTGCTGGGATTGTATTGTGATTGGTAGTATGGTTTATGAGCTGACAGCTGAACGTTCAAAGTTTGAAGGAAGCCAGTTAATCTTTGTTGTTTCCCGTTAACATATCTACTCGACCACAGTAGTCGAAAATGACTGCGGTTAACAGCCCTTTGAATGGGAATCCGTTAGGAGCTCCTGGTTCAATCAACGACCCGACCAGGCAAGCGCAGGTATCATTTTTCCTGGTATTTTATTGAGTATTGCGTTGATTTTTTGGTATTACGCCAGTTACCGTTAATATCATCAGCCAAAACATTTTAAAATCAGAGGTGAATTAGGTGGATCACGGCACATCCGCTGGGGAACATTTTCGAAATAAACGACCCCCTGCTACCTTCTGTCTCGCCTCCCTTCTTGACTTTTCCAAGCTTTCTACCACCTTTACCGCCGAAACTTCCCAAGAGTTTTTCAGTTTCCCAAAAGTTTGCCGTCGACGAGGGGGGGCGCATGTATTAGGTTGGCTAATAAGTAATGGCCGTTTTTTTCAATTGAAAAATTTGTTCGAAAAGTGAAACGTTTTGCAAGCAAGTTATCTGATAGGAAACTTCTCGTAGTATAAGAATATCAAAAAAGCTTTGGTTGAGGATATAGTTTTTGTGAATTTTTTAGTCGTTGAAGTTGGAAGTGAAGTCGGCGAAAATTAGCATCTTCGACAACTGCCTCTATTTAGAAATTTCATGCTAATAGTTGAATTAATTGAATTTGAATTTGATATTCTAATACTACGAGAAGTTTGCTATTAAACGATATTAAGCTTGCTTGCAAAACTTTTCACTTTTGAAACAAATTTTTCAATTGAAAAAAACGGCCATTACTTATTAGCCAGCCCACTAGCAGTTATTAGCCAGCCCACTAGCAGTGGGCTGGCTAATAAGTAATGGCCGTTTTTTTCAATCGAAAAATTTGTTCAAAAGTGAAAAATTTGTTCCAAAAGTAAAACGTTTTGCAAGCAAGCTTAATATCGTTTAATAGCAAACTTCTCGTAGTATTAGAATATCAAATTCAAATTCAATTAATTCAACTATTAGCATGAAATTTCAGGTGGAACAGACGTGAGCCTGCCCAATATTGGCAAGGTGAAGGTTGCCAACTTTGAAATTCTTGAAATTAGTTCCAAAGCGTCCTATTGAGATTCCCTTGCTGAGACTTCTACCTCAACCTTTTCCGAATGTATGGAGCAGCTTAAGCGATTTTAGCACTTCGAGTAGACGTAAATAGAGGCAGTTGTCGAAGATGCTAATTTTCGCCGACTTCACTTCCAACTTCAACGACTAAAAAATTCACAAAAACTATATCCTCAACCAAAGCTTTTTTGATATTCTTATACTACGAGAAGTTTCCTATCAGATGATATATAACTTGCTTGCAAAACGTTTCAACAAATTTTTCAATTGAAAAAAACGGCCATTACTTATTAGCCAACCTAATAGCACCAAAGAAAGGAAGGTCAACATCTGGACAACGCGGCTACTTTCTCCCAAGGGTGAATACGACCCCACTTTCCCAACCGAGGAGCAAACACGACTCGCCCATCCTCTTATCAGAACTTGGCGGCCAACACACTACTTACCTGTGGCGGCAATTTTAGTTTATACTGGTGAAGTCAGTGGGTTCGTCTAACATTCAGGATTACTTGGGTTCTTCTAACATTCAGGATTACTAAGTAATTTCAGCTCTATCACTATCTTGAAACTCTCAAAACTGACGAAAATGGATGGCGAAAATCTACTGACAATATCATAGCGAACAACTTGAGGTTATCCTCTTTCCTTAATGCATTTCACTTATCGAAACACAAGGTTTTTTTCGCCTTACTTCGTAGGTTTGCCTTCTGAAACTGAGGAGCATCGGCAGTAGGACACTTAACGGCTTTTTTGTTTTCCACAGCACCCTTCGCATACTGGCGTAAGCGTTAAAAAATTGGGTCATTCGTCGTAGGTGCGATATTATGATGATGGATCATTACGAGAACTTGAGGGGGACGTATGACTCCTTCCTGAATAACCGAATCTGTCAGAGTGCTGTCTGACTGAAAAAAGCCTAAGCTCCATTAAAAGCTCCAAGAAATTTTTTAAAAGTGCTCTGGTTTTGTACAAGTGACTCAGTGGATCGATTGAAGATTATCCGAACTTCGCAGAATCTAATGCTTAGATTTGGTTGCTCAAGATGCCCAACCGTGACTATTTTTAAGAGTCTTACTCTATACTTCTTCCTTAACTAATACTCTTTCCAGTACCGACGAAGAGCACTTTCTTCTTCTGCAAGTGATCGAAGACTATCTTGCTCGTCGTTATGCAGGAGCTGACGCTGATAGTGTCATGCGTATTCGTAACCTACTTTCTCACTGGATTCAGGTAACCCTATTTTTTTCAGTCTTTAATCAAGTGAAATATTTATTTTTCATTTCTTCACTCTCATTTTTTACTTCAAACCAAAGTTCTTCAACTTTTCAGAAGCTGTCCACACGACCAGATCAACCAAGTTTTCTTATCAACAAAATGGCACATATTTTCTCCCTTGTGTTTGCTGCAGATTTCCCGGATAGATGGCCTACATTTATGGATGACATGTGAGCTTATAGTTCACGAAACTTGCTTTTATCCTTCTGTTAGACTGCGTTCATAGTTTGCGACGGAAGTTGAGCGATTTTTCTATTTTCCTCAATGGCTATATTGGTACCTAAACTTGTAACGCGCGTTCTCCTTGAAGGCGCCTCTCGCGCTCAAAAATAGTGCTTTTTGCGGCTCAAATATAGTGGCAAGATGGTAAGTAACACAAGCGTAAAGAGAAAAGCACCAAAACTCGCATGAAATGCCCGTGCATAGAAGAGTATAGAACTCCGTGATGATGCATGGAGAGAAGAAAAAGCGCGGTTGGACGTGTTCTTGCTCGCTGCTGAAAGCTGTTTTCCCCTTATCACCTCATTCACGCTATTCGGAATGGAGAGAGCTAGTAGCGGTACAACCGAAAAATGAGATCTATCACAAGAATGCTGAGTTATGGGCAAAAGTCGGACCACGGACGGGATTCGAACCCGCATCTTCTGCTTTCCGTGCAGCTGCGTTCCCTATTACGCTACCGGGGCCACTTTTGACCACTCAGCGAAAAATGAGTTGGGCGGAGACGCGACCAGTGGGCGGAGACATGGTTCCGTCGCGAGCAGGCGGCGCTATTCATTCACGTATTCTTGAGCTGCGGAAGAGGTATATCTTCCACACTTGACGGCAGGGCTATCATTTACAGAGAAGGCGTGAGAGCATCAAAGGAACGAAGCGTGCTTTTAAGCGCCGAATCACCGCTTCTACTATTCTCCCGTGGTAAAGTCAAACTCTGCCTTAGTGTATACTCTAGAAACCTTGCCAGAGACAGGTGGAAGGTTCAAACCGTTGAAGTGATTTACTGTGCTCACCAAAATCGCGTCAGCTGATAATTCACAACACGAAAACGAGACACATGTATTTCTCGTGCAATGCTCTCCCCGAAAACAGTGCATTTTGCTGAATTTATTACTAAACAGTTTGCTTTCAGTTTTCTTTCGCGTGGATTAGATAGTGTTCCGTTGGTAGTGTTCTATCTGAAAACCCTTCTGGCTATCGATTCAGAAGTAGTTGATCGCGATATACAGAGAACAAAAACTGTTGGTTTTTTCAATCTTTTCTTTTTTTTCTTCTTAGTTTTTCTTTTCTTTTTTTCTCTAATTTGGTAGCAAATCATTCTGTTTAGATCTTTGATCGTAATACCAAAATCAAAGACTTCATGCGTGATCTGTGCATTTCGCAAATTGTGCAAAGTTGGTGGACAATACTGGTGTGTTATTTCCTCTTTGAGCTATCTTAACACTTAAGATTTCTTTTGGTTTATTGTAGGACTTTTCTTTACTTTTATAAGCGTTTATTATGACAGGAGCGTTGCTCGGATGTAACGGCGCAGTGCCTTTGCCTTGACGCTGTTGCAGCATTTGTTGATTGGATCGATGTAGAACTGGTTGCCAATGATGTGTTTGTACCGCTTGTAATAGCTCGATTGGGGAACAAGGAAATATCCGAAGTAAGTAACTGACTGATTGGTACCTTTCCCCAGCTCATTGTTCATTTTGAGTTTTTTTTTTCGCCACTCTTTTGAATGGGCTCTTCCCAGTCATTCTATTAGTTCTCGGCTACTCTTTGTTTTCTATGACTTCTTAAAGTGGGCAGGTTATCAGCTGATGTTTAGGCGGCAGTGCGTGCTGTATCTGCTCTGATCCAGAAAGGAATGCCACCGTCTAAGAAGCTTTCACTGGTTACTGCTCTTACAGATGTCATGCGAAACAACCATCTCATCAGTGTGAATCCGGTAGGACTTAGGTTTTCTTAGGGAAAATATCGAAATTCTCAACGATTTTTTTTCTTGTATATCGCTGTTGGTTAGAGAGAAAGGGTAATTCAGCACTCTCAAGTCCCGCAAACAAAGGCGCCCTTACAAAAGTCCGCGGGCGTTGAAATCACTTCGCGCGCAAACGTTTACGAGGTCGTCTGAGTTAAAACCTACTGTTATTCTCGAAAACGTCAACTTTTGAAAGACATTTCCGATAGACGGGAACATAGAAGCAAAGTCTACGAGAAGGATGGTCGAAAAACTAATAACAGAGGTTTTTTTGTGATGATTGTGCTAAGGCCACAATTCGCGCTCCAAAAGTTATCTCAAGAACGCTGGGTTGCAAAAGTTCTGGCACCACATGGGACTCGAAAATGCCGCTTAGGCTTACGAGGCAACTATTGGATAACGCGCTCACCCAATAAACTTGGTGAAGGGTTCGACTAGCCTGGAGTAAAGACTTCCCCAGAACTCCTACTACTCTCGAAATAGCATCTATACAGCCGATTACAAGAAGAGAAGGTTCTACTCGGGGAAAGTGCAGTAGAGGGCCTTAACACGTTGACGACGATGGCAGACAATGGTGGCTGACAGCCAGTCTGTCTCATGGGACGATGGCAGACAATGGTGTCTGCCAGTATATTTTCTAAGAATAAAGATGGACGAACAGCCAAGTTTGTCGTAAAGGTGTCCCTGGGGGTAGCTTGTCCCTCTGAAATGAATACCACAGCTGCTTGGCACGAACTACCTGGCGCCCGCGCCACAGGCGCCGGCGCCAAAATACCGTAAATCACCAAATTAGTTGAAAACTTGGCTCGTGGGGTAGTTTGACGCCGTGAACACGAATATCACAATCGCTTGCCACGAGACCGCCTGGCGCCCGCGCCACAGGCGCCGGCGCCAAAATACCGTAAATCACCAAATTAGCTGAAAATTTGTCCCTAGGGGTAGTTCGACCCCCTAAACAAGAATATCATATCCACTTAATGCGTTGACGACGATTTCCGTCAATGGTGGACGAAAGCCACTTTGTCTTGTGGGACGGCGTCACCCAATGCTGTCCGACAGTTATTATATAACTCAAATCTGCGCAATTGTTTCATTTTCTTTTCATAAAATTAGTTCAAGAACAAACATTCGGGCCAAGGGGATGCAATAATGATCTTTAGGAGGTCAAACTACCCCGGCAGACAAATTTTCAGCCAAATCTGCCTCCAGAGGAAGAAGTTGGTAAAAAATGACCTGGTTTTGGAAGATTGGAGCAATAAAAGCTAAATTGTGTCAAAGATTCGAGATTCGTATACTCGTATCTTGCATTTCTTAAACACTTTGACCGTAGCCATTCATTTATTCAAAAATTACTAAGTTTCTACGAAGAAAAACGTTCCCACGGGCAATTCATGAAAGAAATACGGCTCGTCGTGAAGGTGTTGAAATAGAGTCAGGAAAAATTAAATTGGGAAAAATTAGATGAAAACCTTGTTCTCAAGAAAGGAGAACAACTTTCTGGTTCTTCTGTCTCCCTTGTTGCACAGCATGAAAGCGGCCATCACCATGACGCGCGGTCTTGGGGCGACGAAGCTTCAAGGTAGCCGTATTTTCTGTACTTTCTTTTGCACTGTTTTTGCCCATCTCATCGTCCGAAAATACCCACACTGATCTTTCACAATGTTCAGAACAGCGACTATGAGGACGTTTTGCGAGCAGGATCGCTTTTAAGTGCTGTCGGAAGTGTTCTCATCGACACCTACCACAAGTGAGTTTTGCTAGCAATGTGTCCATTCACTGTTTTCACTGTCAATAATGATGATATATAGATATATTTATTTATTTCTATCTACTTTCGACCCCGTCGAAGACAAGTCATTTCGCATTGCATCTTGCTCGAGAACCTGTTCATATTTCCGCAACCGCTGCTGTCAATAAAGGACCTTGTTCTCGGTCGATGACGCAGGGGACTTCGTATGCCCAAACTGGAAAACTTTGCGAGCTTTTTAGCAAACAGCCGGACATCCATTCCGCAATAACGCAATCGATAGTAACTACAGAGAACTGCGAAGCTGAAATTGTAGTACTCTGAAGTTCTGAAAAGGAGGAATAGAAAGCGATAAAAGGAATAGGAACAATCATTGCCCTTCTTCGACTGACCCAAAATAAGCCTCTAAGCGTCTCTCGATTCAAACAAAAAGGGGGGGGAAAAAAAAAAAAAAAAAAAAAAAAAAAAAAAAAAAAAAAAAACCCCCCCGCCCCCGCCGCCGCCCCCCCGGCCCGCGCCCCCCGGAAAGTTTGAAGAAAAAAAAAAACTTTGCGGGAGCCCGCCCCGCCCGCGGCGCCCCCCCGCCCGCCCGCCCGCGCCCCCCGCCCCCCCCGCCGCCCCCCGCGCCCCCGCGGGCCCCGCGCCCGCCCGGCCCGCCGCCCCCCCGCGCCCGCCCCCCCGCCCCCCGCGCGCCCGCCCCCCCGGCCGCCGCCCCGCCGCCCGCCGCCGCCCCGCGCGCCCCGGGCCCCCCCCCCGTTTTTTTTCCGCCGCCGCCCGCCGCCCCCGCGCGCCGCCCCGCCCCCCCCCCGCGCCGCCGCGCCGCGCCCGCGGCGCCCCCGGGGCCCCCGCGCCGCCGGCGCGCGGGGCCCCGCCTCGCAATCGTTTACACGCTCCTTTCTCCGCAACACCAGAGCACTTTGGGGTCAAAAAAGGATGTTGTCAAATGATAAGAGAAATCAGACACGTTCGATGCAGGATGTGAAACGAAAAAAGGTTACAGCAAAAAAACAGAAGCGACGATTTGAATCAAGAAAAGAACAATCCCGCATCCCGTATTTATCGATGATAAACCGGGTCATCTCACTTCTCCCCACCAAAGCAGGTCGTATATCCACACTTTCACCACTACGCACGCGCACGATCTCAACCACCCATGTTACTGCCAACATTATTGATACTATCAATTATCTCTTCACTGACAATCGCAGAAAAGAATCTCGTCTATGCCTGTGAATCTCTTATATGTGATCCGCCAAAAATGTGCATTTTGCAGGATCAGGTGAGCAACAGGGTCAACTGTATTCAAGAAAACGTTTTCGCAAATGCTCAACAACATTTTAAGTGGTTTTGATCGTTGAAAAATAAACTATGGTAAGTATATTGATAGGTAGGTAATGGGAACTTTACCCCGAATAAAGGTGAAAAAAGTTTGGAAATGAGGTAATTCCCACCCTATTAATTAATGTTCTCACACCTTTGATACTATGACCGTGTTTCTATGCTTAACCTGTCTCAAAACACTTTTCAACAGTTTCCATCTCCTTCACCAGCCCATCTTTCCCTCTTCCTGTTCCCTTCCTTTTTTCCTCCCTCTGAGAGATTGGCAGCAAGAAGCGGCGGACAAATCTCCTGTGAACTGCCGCAAAAATTTCTTTTTCAGGGAGACAGGTCCATAGACCGTCTTGAGCCTATGACATCATCCCCTAGCGCCCATGTCACTCACTTTCACAACATAGAAGCGACGCGATCTCTGCAATTGTGGGTAAATTCGTAATTAGCGGAGGGGACTGCCCTAGAGAAATGATCCTGGAATGTGAATTGAAAAATTTTCAGTACGTAAGCGTAATACAGGTATGGAACTCGCCAGTTTCGGGTTACCTTGATTAAATTTACCTTCAAGTCATAAATCTTATCAATTATGTTGAATTATTTTATGAAAATGTAATCAAAAACTTCTTCCATAGAAAAAGAAAACTTTCCACATGGACGCGAAGTCTGAGCTCAAGGAAACAGCCGTTGACCAGTTTCGCTATTTCCTGCAACTCGGTGGGCCTCCTGTTCAGGCTATATACACTCCTATCAGAAATGGGGCTGCAATGTCAAAAGATCTAGCGGCATAAAGAAAAACGAGACATGAAAAACCGTAGGTATTGATCTGTTTCATGTCGGGATGCGCCACGCATTCTACCACCTCTCAGAAATTGCGGCGTTTGAATGCTTTGACCACTGTGATGGCTACCGGGCTCGTCTTCCAAGTATGCCGATAGAGTCAATTTTTCATTCTCCTAGACGTTACAGGTAACAGATAACGGACTCTCAATGTCGGTAAGCCTCAGCTGGCCTCAGACGCATCAAGCATTTGACCTCGATATTGTGTGCGCGTAAGTTGCACAATTTGCAACCTTCCCACCCCAGATGACAATATATAAAACATAAAAAATTAAGAAAAAATGAGAATATATCAAAATTTCGCTATCAAAGAAAGAAATGAGACAGATCAAATAATACAAGCGTATTGACGTCAATACTAAATTTGCTAAATATGTGCACAAATATAGGTAGCACAGTGCTTGCTCGTTCTCGCACCGACACCAAGGGCTCGTAGTGACGCTGGTACGGAAAACTCTACACCCTTCATAACATCACCACCACTGACACAGGTAATTTCTTAGATATTCCACGATTTTGTTTTAATCAGACCCGCTACTCTTCCGAAGCTGATTTGAACATATATTCAAGTGCACAGGATGAGTGCTTTAGTGGACACCTTTTCTGATTTTAAGGCAAGTCAAATGTCCTGCATCAAATCAACTTTACAGAAAACTCATGTTGATGCTATTCCACCATTTTTGTTCAAGTGTTGAAATATTTATGCACAGCAATATTTCAGCCATCGACTGCACCTGTATTTGGGGGATTTCCTCCGGCGCTTCCTTCCGGCACTACTGTTCCACGTGAGAATTGTTTATTGAAATTCCTGCTTCAAAAATAAGTATCCCCTTTTCTGGACTATAAGGCGTACACGGGGCACACCTTCACCTCGTATGGGGCGCACTTTCGCCCGAACGCCGCGAATGTTCTCTCGGACTGTCCTTTCGCGTATTATTTGATTGTCCCCACCTAAGTGAAGGAAGTGCACTGAACAGAAAGTGTTCGAAAAATCATCAATCGGAATCCGCAAAAAAATTTAGACAAGTCGCAGTCACTTTTGGAAACTTTTCGCGCGAGGGGTCGCGTGCGAAATCGCCTTCTACCCCAGAAGAGAGCCTAAATGACGCTTTTGCTTGCCTTTATTTATGGACTTCCATACAGAACGTATCCACTTCAGAGCCTTCTGCGACTACAACTCCGCCATCACCTTTGGCTCCGTTGCTAAGCCTCCTGAGCGGAGGCGCACCATCGCCTTTCACTCTACCCACGCCTCCTCCGCCACCGACTACTACAACCGTACCACCTATAGATATTTGCAGTTTGCCTCCATTGACGGGCACCTGCCGTCATGCTAGGATAATGTGGTGAGTAGAAAAACTTCCAGGGCGATGCACTTTGAACTAAAAATCGGGTAATTTCAATATGAAGCCCAAAGCCTCATAAATTTGAAAAAAAAAAGTTTTTTAGGTACTATGACAACGAAACAGGAATGTGTGAGCGATTCAGGTTTTTCTTTTCTTGAGAAAAACGGCAAAAAAATTTGAGAAATAGGAAAGCTTGGGAGGATGATGTGCAGGATAGGAAGGGGAGAGGGAAGTTTCGCGCCTGTAGTGGAAATCGGAGAGGAGAGGACTGACTGACACTGCTGTTGTGCTCATCCCAATGTTGTACCTGCTCTCAAAGTCGTTTTGAAGCAAAGCAGTTAAGAACAGTTATTTCTGACCTCGTAATCATACTTGAGGCTTAGGTTACGAACACGAGACCTACCTCAAAGTATAAGACATGAACTGTAGCTGATCGGCCATCTAGTTGCATAGAGTTGAGCAGATTGACTGGTAACAATGCACCACGTCCCATCCATCCTTCTTTCATATTGACGAAATTCGCCTATAATGTATCAGGCCTAGACAAGGTACGGCTGGAGAACCACTTCAATGCGAGAAATAGGCGCGGTTTGGCTTCGTAGAGCCACCGATTGGAACTCAGCGAAGGTTGTACAAGCCTCCTTGTGGAAATCTGTACTTCCTTGTCACCAGATGAGCTCAACTGTGAAATTTCTCGGCTTCACACAAGTGAACAGGTTAGCGTACCTGTTAGCAAGCATGAACTCGCAAAAGGTAGTAATGAGAGTACAAAATGTCCCTCCCAGGCCGAACAGCGCCAAGGAGACCTTTTATTAGCCGAATTACCGGAATAATCTCCACCAGACCATGAACCAACTGGACAATAGCTTCCAATCGTGCAATAGGCATTGCCGTGCCACCGCCACTGGCCGCAACTTCATCAACCAGAACTTCTAGTGGGGCCACTATCAGGTCGCAACGCTGAAATTCAGCAATACAACCCGGTTTCGACATTTCCAAGTGGATTTCCACTCACCATGTTCCCGATCGTATTAAGAATTCCGCGCAGTTCCTTCCTGTACTCGGCGAATTCGATTTCATCTTCACCCGATCCATCCACGTCCAGTTCTTCGCTAATTACAAACCGTCGTAAGCAAACGGACACGATCTTCGTCAACATACTGGTTGCTTTCTTAAAGATCACAGATGATATGGTTGTTTTCCGGGCTCGAAAGCTACGACATCATTACGGAGAGTGCTCCTCGTTTACCAGGCTTTAATGCGCTCAAAAGTTACGGTACTAGGGTAAATAAAGCCGAAAAAAAGCGGAGATAAAGTCGTAAGAAGCGTGTTTGATCAGTTATTTACGGGACTTGCTCGTAAACAGAGGAATTATACGATTATTGATTGAGTTGCAAGTTACAGTAACTGTAAAATTTTCAAAGACCACAAATATTGACCTCATCCGTACAGTTATCCTTGAAAAGCGCCACATAGCTACGCAAGGTATAGATGACTAGTTCACTGAGCTCAGGATCTTCATTATCAAGCACCAGTAGCAGCGAATCCATATCTGCTTCCACGATTTTGATACAGCGTTGAGCATCTTCGCCCGCATCCTCAGCTTTGAACCTGAAATCCATCCTAAGGATAAGAAATTAAGCAGAATTGAAAGATTCCTTGGGCAAAACTAGAACTATCGGAGATAAAAACTTTGTCTAAGCTCAAAAGGGAAGAAGCTTTAGGATGGGTGAACCAATTCCAAGTACAGTAGTCCTATTTAGATGATGCTGTAATCCCAGTCGCGCACAAAGTTCGTGCAATATTTCGGCGGGTTGCAAAAGCCAAATTCCACAAGGACTTTTCAAAGGCTATTTTCTTTTACAATCTTTGTTACTGCTTTGCTTCCGTTTTTCCTAGTCTTTATGGCAATCGGGAGGAGGTGGTGTAGTGACAAGTGGCGCGCGTCGGGTTCAAATCCCGGGTCGACTCCCGCCCAGGCCAACCAAGCCTTCTACCCTCCGGGGACGGTAAATTGGTACCAGATTCGTCTGGGAGGATAAAACACTGACTTGTACATCGGCTGGCCACCGCAAGTCATTGTATAGGCCACATCGCATTCAATAAGCCACTACGATTCTGAATGGAAGTAGAATGCGTGCCGCATCCCACAAAGGGATTGATCAACGGCGAAGACTTTATCCTTTATAAGGCATCCAGAATTAGATGATGGGGGGGGGGGGGAACAATTAGCTCTCTCTGACTGTTCCTCCCCATCATCTAGTTCTGAGCCGGGAGATCTGAGATGCACCGGGATGTCGGGTATTATTTTGCTGGCATAAAAAAGTGCGCAAAACTCGTATGGTGAGACTCTCAGGAAGGGTCTTCAATCAGGGCGTTCTTTCTGCTTTTTCTACAGTTCCCTTTAGAATGCATAGCCACTTCATATTCACAACGAAACATCACTACACAATTTGCAATCGCGGGACTTGTCTATAGCTCCAGATTACATTTCAAAACTGAAAGTTAACTCACTAAGCTCAGAAACGCTGGTGGAAGCCCTCTACGTGATGGTCGGTCCCCCGCACTTCCGCTTTTAGTGCTGTCACAGTGGCGCTGTAACTATCTCCCGCGTCTAATCACGCGCTCGTCAACTGTCAATAAAGGACCTTGTTCTCGGTCGATGACGCAGGGGACTTCGTATGCCCAAACTGGAAAACTTTGCGAGCTTTTTAGCAAACAGCCGGACATCCATTCCGCAATAACGCAATCGATAGTAACTACAGAGAACTGCGAAGCTGAAATTGTAGTACTCTGAAGTTCTGAAAAGGAGGAATAGAAAGCGATAAAAGGAATAGGAACAATCATTGCCCTTCTTCGACTGACCCAAATAAGTCTCTAAGCGTCTCGAATTCACACAAAAGAAACAATATCCTGGCAATCGTTTACACGCTCCTTTCTCCGCAACACCAGAGCACTTTGGGGTCAAAAAAGGATGTTGTCAAATGATAAGAGAAATCAGACACGTTCGATGCAGGATGTGAAACGAAAAAAGGTTACAGCAAAAAAACAGAAGCGACGATTTGAATCAAGAAAAGAACAATCCCGCATCCCGTATTTATCGATGATAAACCGGGTCATCTCACTTCTCCCCACCAAAGCAGGTCGTATATCCACACTTTCACCACTACGCACGCGCACGATCTCAACCACCCATGTTACTGCCAACATTATTGATACTATCAATTATCTCTTCACTGACAATCGCAGAAAAGAATCTCGTCTATGCCTGTGAATCTCTTATATGTGATCCGCCAAAAATGTGCATTTTGCAGGATCAGGTGAGCAACAGGGTCAACTGTATTCAAGAAAACGTTTTCGCAAATGCTCAACAACATTTTAAGTGGTTTTGATCGTTGAAAAATAAACTATGGTAAGTATATTGATAGGTAGGTAATGGGAACTTTACCCCGAATAAAGGTGAAAAAAGTTTGGAAATGAGGTAATTCCCACCCTATTAATTAATGTTCTCACACCTTTGATACTATGACCGTGTTTCTATGCTTAACCTGTCTCAAAACACTTTTCAACAGTTTCCATCTCCTTCACCAGCCCATCTTTCCCTCTTCCTGTTCCCTTCCTTTTTTCCTCCCTCTGAGAGATTGGCAGCAAGAAGCGGCGGACAAATCTCCTGTGAACTGCCGCAAAAATTTCTTTTTCAGGGAGACAGGTCCATAGACCGTCTTGAGCCTATGACATCATCCCCTAGCGCCCATGTCACTCACTTTCACAACATAGAAGCGACGCGATCTCTGCAATTGTGGGTAAATTCGTAATTAGCGGAGGGGACTGCCCTAGAGAAATGATCCTGGAATGTGAATTGAAAAATTTCAGTACGTAAGCGTAATACAGGTATGGAACTCGCCAGTTTCGGGTTACTTGATTAAATTTACCTTCAAGTCATAAATCTTATCAATTATGTTGAATTATTTTATGAAAATGTAATCAAAAACTTCTTCCATAGAAAAAAAACTTTCCACATGGACGCGAAGTCTGAGCTCAAGGAAACAGCCGTTGACCAGTTTCGCTATTTCCTGCAACTCGGTGGGCCTCCTGTTCAGGCTATATACACTCCTATCAGAAATGGGGCTGCAATGTCAAAAGATCTAGCGGCATAAAGGAAAAACGAGACATGAAAAACCGTAGGTATTGATCTCAAACCGTTCAGCAACGACTAGAAAACGGATACACGGATATGGAAAGACAAATGGGTTGGAGATGTCTCTCCCTTCCTCCCCCCCCCTTCTATACGCCTGGAGTGTAGCGGAGTCCTTGGAGTGATGAGCGGCGTCTGGGTAATGAATAATTCGACGCTTCTTGGGCCAGGGCCCATTTTTGAGCCCGAAGTGGGTTTGTTTTCCACCAATGGCGGTTTTCGTGGTGGGGCTTATATACGGTAATTTCGCGTTGAAGCGCATTTCTATGTCCATGCGGCCGCGCCTCCACAATTGACGGCGTGAGGATCTTCTTCTCCAAAAATCTTAAAAGAAATGAGACTTGATAACAAAAATCGATCGAAGAGAAACTAGGGAAGGAGAGCTAGCTTGTAGCAGCTGGATACGCCTCCATTTATCGAAGCTCTCGTGTCGCAGGAGTGAGACATCCTATTGTGATTGTGGCCATCTCGTACACCTGAGGGTTTCTGCACCTTGGATGATCGCGGGCCGCTGTTGTTAACTTACGGATGGAAACAGGAGGATGAGGGAGATAGCCAGTTTCCCGTTTTTCCCCAGAGAGGGGTGGTCCCAGGATTGCATTATCCATGGTCTGCTGTACCACAACATCGCTCTCGCCATAATGTCGATTTTTCAGGGATTTACCGTGAACTTCCAATCGCGATTCCGGCAACAACACTTGAACGTGGCGTAAACTTTTACGACCAACCTAATTATTAAGCTTAATGGGAAATGGACGGTTCTGCTTTAATTTGATTTGCCGTCCATAGACGGTTATAGAGGAAAGGAGCTTTATTGCACATCCGAACAGCAACCATGGATTCTCTCAGTGCCCTACTTCAGAAGGGAGCATTGTGGATAAAAGCCATTGCCACAAAATGGTTATTTCTGTAGCCCTTCGCTGTCAGAACCAAGCGGTGTTACCGTGCTACTAGATATTAGTCATCCCATTCGAAAATGTGGAAGGTTTTATTCATATGAAAAACAGGAAAACAGATAAAAAGTAATATTTGGTTAAGTAGTTCTCTCCTTCATCCATGATCCGCTTCCAGTGCCTAGTGCTTGCACCACTGGTACCTGGTACCTTCACCTTCTCAACACGTTGACGACATTCTGACCCATAAGTGGCTC